GTCCCTGACCGCCACCCCCCCCACAGGGAACCACGCTCACACCTGGGGTCCCTGACCACCCCCTGCAGGGCACCGAGCTCACACCTGGGGTCCCTGACTACCCCCGGCAGGGCACTGCGCTCACACCTGGGGTCCCTGACCTCCCCTGCAGGACACTGCGCTCACAACCAGGGTCCCTGACCCACCCCTGCAGGGCACCAACAATGCTTCCTGTCGTGCCCACTTTCATCGAGTAGCCTCCCCTAATTAATCTCACAGACATGCACAAAATAAAGAAATTCTTACAGCAAGTGATAAGTTTTTTACCTCAAATGCCCATTCTTTTTCTTCTTCCCCATCTAGGAACAAACGTGTTTCTTTATAAACTTGGCCTATATCGAGATTTAATGGGGATATATCGAATTCAAGCCGTTGCAATTCAAATCCTAGGCCAACACCAAGGGCTTTTATGAAGCTTTCTTTCAGGGCCTAAAATACAGAACAATTTTCTCTTAGCAGCGCATTCAGCGGGTAAAATCTCCATAAACTCTACAGGCCCAACACATCTGGATTGTTAGCTCTGTGCTACATGGTGACTCCAAGTTATTATCATTACTTTTACCCTTGCACTAGCACAGACACAAACCAGACATGGGATCACACAATCATCTGATCCCCTGGGCCTCCGCTCTGGGTGTAACAGCACCTCCCTCACAGCCCTGTCATGACTGTTAAATTAACCAACTCACGAAGGGCATGTTTTCTGCCATATAGGGAATATTACAGTAGTGTTAAATAAGGCCTCGTGTGTACGAGTTCCTTTGAAAAAGAAAACATTAAACATTGTGAGAAATGTCTTGTTTGAGCTTTAAGAGCAAGTACCTTCTAACTGACCACTGAATATACATTCCATTTTCTTAACTGTCATTAAGATTTAATTATGCCGCAAAAAAAAAAAAAAAAAAAAAAAAAAAAAAAAAAAAAAAAAAAAAAAAAAAAAAAAAAAAAAAATCGCAAAGTTCCCAACAATCACCCATTTGTTTTAAACACCGTAGGAACTCCCCTAGTTACCAAAGGACTTTGATGCCGATTTTTAGTAAAGACAATGAGTCATCATGGGCTTTTAACTCTCAAAATTAGAAAGAAATTATACCCAATTCCTATAAAACATATCCAGTTGAGTCCATTCATCATTAAAGCTTCTGATGGTTTCCCATTCTTTGTTGGTAAACTTTCTTTTCATAATATGAAAGAATTCTGGAATTGAACCACGACCTGTCAATTGAAGAAATACACAATTAAAAACAGACAGTGACAAGCAGGGGTTAGCCCAGGAACACAAGGGTAGTTATAGAAATAGTGAAATTCTGTGATTAAATAACAATGGGAAAAAAACAACACACAGTTGTATTGATAGATGCCTTCCGAAAATCTGATACAATTTACCAGCCAAATGTGGTATAAATTCTAAATAACATGAAGGAAAAGAACTAGATGTGGTAGAGTATCAGAAATCTACAACAAACATCTTAAAAAAGAGCTATATTCCTCTGGGGTTTACATTTTTTACTTTGTTATAGAACAGGAAAAAAAGAGCAATTCCTTTACTGTAAGTTTTTGAGAACTGCTAGAAAGCTAAGGGTTTATTTTTTTAATTTTTTTTCATGTTTCTTTATTTTTGAGAGAGAGAGATACAGAGACAGAGACAGAGACAGAGACAGAGCAGGAGAGGTGGAGGGGCAGAAAGAGAAGGAGACACAGAATCCGAAGCAGACTCCAGGCTCTGAGCGGTCAGCGCAGAGCCTGACTTGGGGCTCGAACTTATGGAGTGAGAGATCATGACCTGAGGTGAAGTCAGACCCTTAACTGACTGAGCCACCCAGGTGCCCCGAGGGTTTTTTTTTTTTGGAGAAAGAAAGCCCAAGAGGAGATGGGCAGAGAGGTAGAGAGAGGGAAAGAGAATCCCAACCAAAGCAGGCTCTGTGCTGTCAGCACAGAGCCCGACGCGGGGCTGGATCTCACAACTGTGAGATCATGTTCTGAGCTGAAATCAAGAGTTGGACGTTCAACAGCCTGAGCCATCCAGGCACTCCTGTTCTTCTGTTTTTTTCTAAGTTACCACTTTGGAAAACTACTTTACACTTCTTTCCTTCACAGGAATGATTTCTGAACATGTTTTCTTATTTGACTTTTCCAAATGAAAACAGATGCTAATTTCTGCCTTTTCAGGGATGCTACTGTGAAGTAAGCTTTTTTTCAAAAAAATTGAGATACACCCCTAGAGCCTCTGTTCCACAGACAATAAAATATCACAGAGAATTCTGAACATAAATAACAAATAATTCAAGGAATCTGATTCTCAGAATTGAGAGCTGAGACACAAATTAAAAATAGAAGATATGTCTCTTATATTTTTTCAAAACAGAACTATGTGCTTATCTATCGTTACCACTAGACAGGATGTTTCTGTATTTGTTTATTGATTCTGCAAATATGTCAACTGTAAATACTACACAAATGTGTACAGAACTAATGGTCACACATGGGTCAGTCATGGTGCCTGGCCTCCCACACAGCCAGCCTGGAGAGCCCATCAGAGCCTGGCCCTGGACAGAAGGCCCACAAACGTTCACCACGTGGATAAACGAAATGAACCGTCATTTGGTCCATTACTGCCCCATGCCCTGCTGTCCCGTGTCCTTAGTTCACGACTACAGTTCCTCACGGAGCACGGCTTCCTCTTCGTGGCTGTCCCTTTGCAGACTGTGTTAACTCCGACTCACAGCTCTAGAACACCCAGCTCTAAAATCCGACATTCCCACTGGCTACAAGTCCTCCAGTGACAGCCACCAGCACACGCTCTGTGGGTGTTAGAGGCCTGTCTGGAGACCAGAAGTTGAATCCCCGTGCTTCACGCGTTATTGGCATTTCACCGCTAACCTCACTCTAGAAACTCCCCAGTACTGCACACCGGAATGCTATGGACTGCGTCTCCACAGGGAGCTTACAGCCAGTCCTACAGCAACCAAGTATCGTTCCCATAGTGATCTCAAGGGTAGAAAGTATCAAAAATCAATTCCTCCACAGAACTGTTCACGATCCCCCACCATTCCCATTTCAGCAGACTTAAGAGTGTCCTCCTTAGCCAGGAGATACTTCCGATGATCCTGTGGGGAGTGATATGTGGTCCTTTACAGATCAAGACAGAGACTCTCATTTACTTTCAAGTTCAACAGACTCATTTAATCCAACTATCTTCTCCTTGGCACTCTGTTCTCAAGAAAAATACATTTCAATAGTTTACGAGTTCAATTAGTGTTTACTGTTTGTGTTGTTCACATTGCTAAAATACTGTTACTTCCTAAAAGCAGCCCAGCAGACCTATCAAGTCATTTCACGTAACAGCACTGAAATATTAGCTGATCTTGGAGTCCCAGGGGAGGGGGATCCCTCTGATGGTCCCGTGCTTCACTCTCCCAACACCTCCCTCAAGGCTCCTACTAAACACAATCTCCTTAGAAAGCAAGCAGCACTAGCACATGGCGTGGCTTGAGAAATGACACTCAAAAGTGACAATAAATCTGGAGAATTTAAACACGGGGAGCACTATATCTAGGTAAATCATCAACTGCTTCATCTTGAACATGTTCTGGCACAGTGCAAACACTAACAGTGGGGAAAACAGCTACCTTGGATTTGGAGACTACACTGTATATTTTGAGAACTGTAGCTTTAATGGAACACTGCCCCAAATGCCACAGTTGAAAATATATGCCTATTGTCATCTATAATGTCATTTTGTTTGCTGGTTTCTTCATAACCTTCAAAAAACCCTCTAATTTTTTAACTAAATAAGATGGGGTAATCAAGACAAAAAAGATTAAATATGCATGCTAATAAAAAATGAACTGATAAAGCCCTCTGATTTTTTAACTAAGTAATATGGGGCAATCAAGAGAAAAAATATGCATGCTAATAAAAAACAAAATGATGAACATAAAAAGCAATCTAGCACAATCACTGAAAGCAATCAAAAACTGATTATGTACAGCTAAAAAAGTACCCAATATGAGGGCGTTTTCATATACTTTTGAGAGCATCTTATCCATTCCACAAAATAAGAGCTGTGACAGCAAGAAGAAAAGAGGATTTTCTAATTATTTGGCCAAAGCACAAGAGCGCCACAGTGTGGCACTATGGTGGAAATACACAGTGGGTGAGTCCTCTGCTAGGTAGTTTACCTAGGAAATTGGAATTTGCGGCCGGGGGAGAAAAATCAGTAGGAAATACCAGAACAGTACATTTGTCCCTCAAACGATCTGAAGGCAGCATAATTATCAAACATATAATCTGGCAAACCACCTAATAATACCATCACGTATTCATGTTTCCTGTGAGTCAGATTTAATCATCCCACCACATGCTGAAGGGGATAGGTAAGGAAGATGAAGTGACTGAAAAACAAAACCACTAACCACATTTACGGAAACCAGATTACCCCTCTTGTTGCTTAGCCTTTAGGAAAAGCAGTGTTAGCTACTAAGCTTCATAATGATCAACTAATCGAGACCACAGACCAACTGGTAGGTTGACTAAACATTCAGTAATAACCCACAACAAAGAGTTCACACAAACACCTCAAGCTGCTATTGCAAACCTACAAAAAGAAATCCCACTAGTACCAGAACCTCAAAGCCCACCTACGTCAATCTGTCCCCCAATGTCACCAATGTGTTCACCATCCTTAAAAGGGATCTGTTACTTCAGGGAGGGGTTGAGCCCTGTCCATCTGTGTGCTTGGAAATAGTGAAATTTAGCTTTTGATCAAAAGTCCAATTAGAAATTCTAGTAGTGCCATTTTTTGGATTACATATATTCTTGTTTCCACAGGAGCGGGGAAGGGACAGACTTCTATTCTAGACTTTGAGCCAGTATGTGCACAGTGATGATGGATTTGTGTGGGAATTTACCGAGGCACAAACCCAGAATAAAGCAACAATGTATGAGGCCCTCAGGTGCGTTTCACAAATCCTGACAAAGGAGCTCTGTTAGAGCAGGAGAGCACAGACTGAGATGCGGGCACCTGGGCTGGACACCCCCACTCAGGCAGTCCTGAACCCCAGCAGCTCGTAGTGCCTACATAAATGCCTTCATCAACATATGTGGCAAGAAACAGGCCTGGAGAACAAGAACGGAACTCAGGGGCTGCAAATGTGTAATCTTTCAGGAAGAGGGCAGGACCCCCTGAAGGCAGGTAGAGGGGCCAGAGGGTGGGGGAGGCCCCAGGACCAGGAAACAGAGCAGGAGACACGGACTATTCTCAGGCCTCGAAACCATACAAAGTTTGCCCTGTTGGCTTTTCAACCTGCTTGGGGCCCAAGGCCTCCCTTTCCCACTTTACCCTCCTGAAATGGGAAAGTCTACCCTGTGCCTATTCCCCCAAGGTGTTACAGAAGCGGATGGTTTCTTTTCTAGCTTAACTGGTTCACAGGAGAGTGAGGAATTCTGTCCCGCCATGGAACATACCCAGCCTCACCTGTACCTGAGTTAGATCATCCACATGATGAGACGTCGAAGCTTTGGAGCTGATGATATTCAGAAGAGATGCTGGAGTCAGAGTGAATGCTGGAACAAGCTAAGGCTCGGAGAGGCTGGGACGGGATGAATTTATTTATTTATTTTTTTTTGTTTTTTTTTAAGACTTTTATTTTTTTTTCAATGTTTATTTATTTTTGGGACAGAGAGAGACAGAGCATGAACGGGCGAGGGGCAGAGAGAGAGGGAGACACAGAATCGGAAACAGGCTCCAGGCTCTGAGCCATCAGCCCAGAGCCCGACGCGGGGCTCGAACTCACGGACCGTGAGATCGTGACCTGGTTGAAGTCGGACGCTTAACCGACTGCGCCACCCAGGCGCCCCGGGATGAATTTATTTTGTACGTGGGAAAGAGATACATTTATGGGGGAAGGTGGAGGATGGACCGTACTGGGTCGAACAGCATCTCCCAAAATTCATGGCCACGCAGAACCTCAGGTGTAGTCTGCAGATGGAATCACATTAGGATGAGGTCACAGTGGATTAGGACAGGCCCTGTATCCAGTGACGGAGAAACACTCAGGCACAGAGAGAATCTAGGAAGATGCAGGTGGTACCGAGGTGGCCAAGCTAGAAGCCAAGGGCGGCCAGGAAACCAGGAAGAGGCAACGAGGGGTTCTCCCTAGAGCGTCAGAGGAGCGCGGCCCTGTCGACTCTGACTGGTGGCCTTGAGGACATCA